CCAGAACCAGAGGCAGAGACAGGCAGATCTCTGTGAGTTTGGAGGGCAGCCTGATCTACAAAATTAGTTCCAGAACTTCCAGGGCTATGTGGCGAAACCCTGTCTGAAAAAAAGAAAAGAAGTGAAAGAAAAGGAAACTGTGTGCCCACAGCAAATGTCCATAAAAGTGACAAGGGAGACAATGAGAACTCAGTCCCAGGTGCACAGGCTTAGGGACAGTTTGTAATATGGCAGGAGCTAACTGCAACAACCTCCCATCTTTCTCTCCTGAAACAGTCTTCTGCATCGAAACACTTGTTCCTCAGTGAGCAGCACTGCTTTCGGGGGCCTAGAATTGCGGTAGGCAGTGTGGCTGGCAGATGTGAGTCACGAGAGGGAGACTGCTGAGAGTTATGGTCCAGCTTCACTTCTGGCTTGAGCTCTCTGCTTGCCAATGTGCTCCTGAAGCCTAATCTGCAGCTCCCAAATGCTGCCATCTTGTCCACTGTACCTCTGCTGCCGTGATGGACTGAATGGTTAAAATGGGTGCCAAGATAAATGTACCTGCTTTGCCCGGTGTTTTGGTTACCACAATGAAAAAAGTAACTACCATACTGATTTGGGTGATAAACAAATGCAATAAACAAATGCTTTGCCATGACCTTGTGGTGCAAGACTAACAGCATTTTTTAAATTCCTAATTCAATGTCTTTACATGGGTCTGCTTATTTCCAGGGGTCTGAGTTCCCTGGAAATCATTTTGGAAACAGGTCAAGTAAGGGACTACCAAGCTCATTAGCAAATGTCCCTAAGGATGAAGAGGGATGATTTCACTAGGGATCCAGCTGAAAGGAAGAGTCATGTGGTGTGCTATGCAAGTGGTGAGCATGGTGGGGAGCAGGGGTAAGAATGGGGTGAGCATGGAGAGGAGATGGGGTGAGAAATGAGATGTGTATGGGGTAGGAAAGATGTCCCAAGAATTCCACACACAGTTTGCCACCATGTGTGGCAAACCCAGTGAAAACAGAGCACAGCCCAGTAGGGGCGTAAATGTAGAGCCATCAGCAGAGAGAGGATATGGAAAGCCAGCTTGGAGAGGTAGATGACTCTTCAGTAGTCGGGGAAGATTTGGATTCCTTCTGCGTTAATGAGCACACAGTGGAGAAAGGGCACAGAACAAAAGGATTTTGCATGGGGGCCTCTTGTCTTTGATACACGACTCTTAAATTTTTCTATTTTTATCAGCTTCATCAATATGAAAAAAAGATAGCATGAATGTAATTGGTGCAAGAGTTGCAAATGTGCAAAGCTCCTTTTTGTTCAAACTTGGATCACCCTGAAAAGAAAACCCAAAAGGAAAGATGCAGGCTAATTAAGGAGTCCGAAGTACTAGGGGAGCCAGTGTCTTCCTGAAGATCTCACTATTGATTAAAGAAAATAAAGGGTCATGTGGGCAGAGTAAAAACAGAAGACCACTCCAGGAACACAAAAGGCATGTGCCAACCGTGTGTGTGTGTGTGTGTGTGTGTGTGTGTGTGTGTGACATCCCAGGCAGAACCATAGGGCAACACACAATAGTCACAGCACAACAGTGCTGCTCAGACTATCCACACAGGAACCTGCACTTTCTGTCTGCTCTGAAGACTGATATCACACACACCTACACACACACACACACACACACACACACACACACACACACACACACACACCTCTGCAAGCTTTAAATTCTAGGCTTGGCCTGGCTTTTTAGAAGTTTTTTTTTTTCTTTTCCTTTTTTTTTGGGGATCCTTTTAAAAATATATATCAGAAGCCTTCTTTGGGAGGTGTTAAAGAACTGCCCCAGAAGCATGAGGACTTTGGTTCAGATCCCTAAAATTCACATTAAAATGTTGGCATGGGGGCACATGCCTGAGAGTCCTGATGGCAAGATGGAAGGCAGAGAGATGTGAATTCTTGGGCTCTCTGTGGTCATCAAACTCCCAAGCCAATGAAAGACCATGTTTCAAACAAAAGTTGAAAGGCTCTAAGAAGGTTGTCCTCCCCACCCCCTTGTATCCTTCCCTTGCTCTTCCTCTCCCACACACAGATACATGGGCACAGGCACACACACACAGACACAGACACACACACACACACACACACACACACACACACACAGGAAACTTCAGATAAGGACAGAAAGTCCCTGTCCCTTCACCTCACATGACTCTAGAAATTGACCTTGTCTCATGGGAAGTTCTATGCCTCCCACAGTCACGTGACTTACATTGAGCTCACAATCCTAGGTCTGCCGAGTGTGCCCTTGGAGGTCACACTGCCCTGCTGCCCCATACCAGCACTGAGGTATAAACTTTGGTCTTGGTGGCACAAAGGAGCCAGCAGAGGGTAGCTGAGTGCTTCAGGTCACAAAGCCATTTGACACCATTATAGTGAACTACAGGGACACATATAGGGAACTTGACTTTAAAAGGCTGTAGAGCAGTTGGCTGCAAAATCTTCACAAATTGAGGGATGCCACTCAGGCCACTGAGCATGGGTAGGGTGGCCTAGGCTCTCTGGAGAAACTCCCATGCCACTGTGACAGACACCAGGCTCCAGGCTCCAGAACATCAAAGCCTGTAGATCCCTCCAAGAGGGAGTCACTGAATGAGGCCTTAGCATGAAATGTGCCTCACAAGCCTTCGTTTTTCCAGAGGCAAATGCCACCAGGCATCAGTGTTTGCACCAAAGGAAGGACAAGGAATGTGGATCCTGAGGGTTGCTCATCCTCACGCACAAAGTGTCACTAGAGTCCACTGATGAGTGTGGAGACTTGTCACGGTCTTAGGTTTACATTTATCTCACTCTAGGTCACTCGTCCCCCAGCTGAATAGCCTCAGCCATCCTGAGGTAAAGCAGCTGTAGTAGAAAAGCCACTGAAAGGCCTCAGTGCCCCAGAGAGATGTACAGACGATGGTAACTGCACAGGACACTCCTGTGACACTAACTGTCACAAGTACAGGGTCACGGGGGGGGGGGGGGGAGGCCATCCTGTTGCCACTAGCATAGTTCTCTGGAGCCTCTTAGGTGGGTATGATGAGCTAACCTCACACCACAAGACAAGTCACACCAGCCACCTTGCCTCAGGTCTGCCCTCAAAGAATGAAAAGCATATTGCCCAAAGGACTGATGATGTCAAGTCCCCCTTTCCCAAGTGACCTACAACCAATGGCAACATGAAAAAATGCAGAATCTGTCCCCTTCCTCCAGACCAACAGTCACAGGTCAGGAAAACAAGCAAGAGGAAGTATCCCGTAAGTAGTCATGATGATGGAGGCATGGTTTCCCCAAGGTCAGCTGTGACAAGAAGGGAATGTGGAGTTCAATCAAGTCTCAAAGGTCTTATCCCCAGGCCAGCCTGTTAGTGCCCAGTCAAACCCAAGTCCAATGCCACAGTCCAGATACAGCAGGTAAGAAATCCTCACCCAGCCTTGCATTCTGCTGACTTTTAGCTGACCAAATGGGCCCATCCACCCACATCTGCTTCACCCCAGCTGCATAGCAAAGACTCGAATCCCTCCTCACCCCAAGGAGGCTGCATCAACCCAGTAAACTCAGGCTGATGGTTACTGTATGAGAAGACCCCTGACCTGGTCCACAGCTGAAGATGTGTACACCGCCTGCCCTCCAGGTGGTCAGACAGTTCCTATGTGTAGATTACTTATCTTGTCACTTCTTCTGCCAGGGAGAGTGCACCCCACTGCCACACTGTTCCTTGACCAAAGGAGACCTCAGCTTCCCACATCACAAGCTGCTAAATGCATGCTAATATCTAGGCAAAGACTGCAGCTTCCACCCAAGTCTAGCCCGTCACCTGCACTTGTGATAGAGTCACTGAACCTTGACACAATCTTGGTGCACCTGCTTGTGTTCATCTTTGTGATACAACAGAGACTGGGCTAGAGGCTAGGCCTAGAACATGTGCCCTTTCCAAAGGCATGCTGAATACCCAAGAGATAAGACCAACTGGGTACCACTGATAACTGAAGGACCAGAAGAACCCCCTCTGCCTCAGCCCCCACAGGAGCCTCTATGGAATGGGGGCAGCCTCCACACCCACAGCCAAGAGACACCCGAGGGCCTCTGGGGGGTTTCATTCTGATTTGTCAAAGTGACCATCTAGGAACCCAGAGTCTGGTCTGTCTACCCTGTGTGCATCTGTTCAGAGCCCAAGGTCCTAGCATCATAGATGCTGCTCAATTTCAAGGGGAAGAAACTAGCACCCAAGATGAATGAGTCCCAGCATTCAATGGGTGCTCTGATCCCCCATTCTGGGCCCTGGTTGTGAAGCCTGTGGAACCTCTCACCACAGGTATGCATCAGAGAAAGCTAGGTGCCTTTTGGTAGAATGGCTATAGATGACTATAGATGGTTGAAGCATTGGTGGCAAGATTGTCTCCTCCCCCGAAGAGCTCTTGATCCTTAGGAAGCTTCACTGGGATATCACAGACTCCCTGAATCTGTGTGGCAACCCTACCCTGTCTTCTGCAAAGGGAACTGTGTGGCTCAACTGTGCTGGCACAGGGTCCTTGTTTAGCGGTCTGTGTTAATGACAGGCGGAGCTGTGGAAACCAAACTCTACTTCCTGCCTGCACCCAAAGGCACAATCTTTGTCCTAAGATGTAGCATGGCCAGGGAGGGGGCAGCAGACAGAAAGAAGCAATGCTCAAAATACCTTTATTTATTCTTTTCTCACAGGCGGCCACTCCATCACACACGTCCACTGGGGATGTCACCACTGACATTTTCACACGCTGCCTCCTTGTGCTCCTTATTCTTCTGTTTCTCCGTGTCCTGAGAGTGTCACTTCAGCTAGATGACAGGGAGCAAATCTGAGTGTTTCTCTAATGGGACATTCAGCACCCTTGGAAGAGTTTATCAAGGGCTTGGAGTAAACAAATGGCAGGCATTTTCCCAAAAGCCCATGGTGAGTAGCCTGTACTACCCTTGTTTTCCAAAACATCTTGGGGACTGAAACCTTAATAGGAGGTTTCCATAGCCTGTCTCAACACAGAAGGCACAAAGGAGAAGATGAACCTGTGTCCTGCAGGCAGCCTCAGGTACACAGACTAGCCACAAGACCCCCTGGTCCCACTTTCCCTGGAGACTTCTGTGAAGCCAAGTCCATGTGGCTAAACATCAGGAGAGACATCCCACATCCCACAACAAGATGCCATGTTTGGGACATCCTTTTCTCTAACCTAGACCAGGAAAAGGGACAAGAGATCTCCACAGCCTCCTGAGAGTCACTGGCAAGGATGTGACTCTGCCTCCCATAAACAAGAGTAGGCAGTGAACTACTTAATGTCCTTCTTCAGCCACCACCTCGCCACCAGCAGCCACACTCACCCTGCAGTGATCCCAAGGAAGGAGACTGATGAACCTGCAAGTGTTACTGGACTGTCCCTAGGATGTACTGACACATGCCAACCATAATGGGGGAGGGAAGAGGAACCCTGGCCCTCCACACTTGGTTACACTGGAACCCTGCCCAGACTGAAGCAGAGTTTGCCATTATTGCTGGGGGCCATCACAGACACTAAGCAAAGACTGTAACACCACAAGGGCAGAGACGGACTCGGCCCACATGAGCCTACCTTCTACTAGGCTCCCCATAGTCTCCTTCTTGGAGGAGTCACTTGGAAGGGTAAGCTTGGGTGACTCTGTTTCTTGAAAAAAAGGTTGCTCAAGCTCCTCGGTGGTCTTGCCCGATGGTGTGGACTCCACGGAAATCTCAGTCTCTCTTTTATACTCCTGTATGACCCTGGGAAAGAAAGCCTTGGTCACAGCCAAGTAGCTAGAGATAGAAGCTGCTCCTTCCACCCTGTACACAGGCTCAGCAATGAGGTCTACATGCTCTGCTCCACGGTCTCAGTTTAGTCTAAGGTAAAACCTGGGAAGAAAATACACCTTGTGCTATAGACAGGCTGTGTTAGCAACCACTAGAGCGGTTACTAGGTGAGGTATGTAAATCTTCTCCATGACTCTGTGCCAGTCACAGGACAGAGCCTCCAGAGCAGCGGGCAAACCAGAGATGGATGCTGAACTGAACACCAGTCCTGCCCCAGACACAACCCAGCTGTGTGGTCTAAGCCTTCACAGTCTCAGCAATGATGAGAAAGGATGTCTGACACACCCAAGCGCTGGTGTCCCATACACAATACACAGACTGACCCAGCCCAGGGTTTAGAGCAGCATGTAGGGCTTGTGGTGGTTAGTATGATCAATTTGACAGATCTATAATCACTAAAAAGAACAAAGGCACAGAGCACATCTGATAGAACTTCGAGATTAGATTCATCGAGGTGGTAAAAACCAACTTAACTGCTGGCAGCACTGTCCCTCAAGCTGTAAGCCAAAATGAACCCTCCCTCCTTTAGGCCAACGGTGTCAGCTATTTTGTCACAACAGGGCTTAAGGACAATGGAGAACCCATTTAGACCTTAGCATGAGCCATGGGCCCTCCCTGGTGCTGTCTTTGAGTGCTGCAGCAGAAGAGGTCTTAGGACCCATGGCTGCAGAGGCCAACAGAGCCAGTGAGCTCAGTGGGGTCTCAGACACCCACTGAATGCTGGGGAGTCACTTTCATTGATAAGAGGAGACTGTACCCAGAGCGGCGGCGGGGGGGGGGGGGGGGTGAGGGAGGCAGGCTGAGAGAGGAAGCGGCAACAGGAATCACGTGTCTGCCCCACACCCTTCCTCCCACGCGGAAGAACTGAGAGGACCCACCTGTAAATGATGGCGATGATGAAGACTCCCGCGATAAGCACGATCAAGGCAGAAAACACCTGCACATAAACTGCGAGATAAGCCCCTGGCTTAGTGTCGGGACCCAAGGCAGTCAGGAGGCTCCCACCCAGAGTGGACACCAGCCCTGCCCCACGTGGTCTTTGTAGCTCACTGTCACTCCACCAATCCAACTGCCCACTGGCCTAGAGTGCTACAAATGGGAGGAAGCAGTCCTCAGCCAGACCTGCCCCTCCAGGGGGGTCAATGCCGTGGAGCCTCAGTCAGGAAGAGCCCCTCCTGCACTATACCTCCTCCCCCATCCCCCTGCTTTGTAGGGTCGTGTGAGGGCAACGTTCTCGGCACATGTGGGGCACAGAAGTTCCATTATTGTTGATACTCTGATTATTACATCCTTCTCTATTTCATTTTCCATTCACTCAAGGGAAAGAAACAATCTTGCTGGCCACACCCAAAGCAAGCCCTACCTTTGCCTCCCTCAAATGACTTTTAGGTGTCCCTAACTAGCCAGAAAGAACTTCAAAGACATTCATATCTGCAACACAGTCTTAGACTAGCAGATGTGTGTGGCTATACAGGTCTGGAACCACAGGTAAAAATTAAGGTGTTGCCAGGCCTGATCCTCAGCAAAGGTTCTGGGAGTCCTCAACCCCTTTCACTGTGGCTTCTGAAGGTTTCTGGTGATCTTCAGCCCCTCTGTGATTCTGTCTCCACTCTTGTGAGGACATTGGGCCTGCTGGACTAGGGGTCATCCTACTCCAGTATGACAGCCTCTTTAATAATCACAGCTACAAAGATTCTCGTCCTAGCTGGCATTAGCTGTCAATTTGACACAGCCTAGAACTGCCCAAAGAGTCTTCACTTGGTAACTGTCTTTATCAAGGTAGTCTGTGGGCATGTGTGTGAGGGATTTTCTTGACTGTTGCCATAGGGGGGTCCAGGCAACCATGGGTGGTTCTATTCACTGGACTGTGTAAGGAAACTAGCTGTGTGTAAGCCTGAATGAGCCAACAAGGCAGTCTTGCTCCATGGTTCCAGCCTCTAGGCTCCTGCCCTGACTTCCTCCAAGTGATGGATTGTGCCCTGGAAGTGGAAGTCAAATTAACCCTTTCCTTCTCTAAGATACTTTTAGAAAATATGTTTTTATCACATTAATAGAAAGGACACTAGAAGAGAAATTGGCACCAGGACTAAAGTGGTATGTTGCTGTGACAGACCTGACCATGTGGCTTTTTATGCCTTTGAACTATTTTGTTGCAGGATCGTGGAAGGTTTTGGAACTTTGAGCTACAAACGAGTGGCCAGGCTTTGGGTGCATGCCTTAATCCCAGTATTAGGGAGGCAAAGAAGGTAAATCTGTGAGTTTGAAGCCATCCTGGTCTACAGAGTGAGTTCCAGGACAGGAAAAAAAAAAGCAATACAGAGAAACCCTGTCTCAAAAAACCGGAGTATTCAGAGCTTGATGAGCTGTTGCTGTGGGAGCTTGGGAAATAATGCTATGGGTAGCGGTACATAATGGAGGCCCGGCTTGTGAGGTTCCAAATACTCTATCAGCACCATTGTGAAATTCAGGCTATTGGCCAGGCTAACGATGGAAAATCAGCTGTGATGAATAAGAGATCAGCACCACTGAGGTGTTGTTCTTTGGGGCCATGGCATACATTTCCTCCAAACCAATACTTAGAAGTTAATGTCTACGAAGTCCAAAGCTACATCTCAAGTTGGAAGCTAAACTGGACAATGTGTAAAAGTCACCCACAGGGTACTGTTTCAAAAGCATAAAAGATGCAAGATGAAAGGAGTGATGGAAAACAGCTGAGGTCAGAGACTCTGAAGAGAAGCCAAGGGAGGCCATTGCTAGAGGTACCTCCATTGCAGTGGAGGCCCCAGGATGTTGGCGATGCCAAAACCATTTGATGTTCACCAAAAACAGCAGCAACTGTGGAGTGTAATAGGCTAAACATGCAAAGCCAACGGTGTGTTCTGAAGATGGCAGAGCTGAGGAGGTGTGGTTGCCTTTAGTACCAAAGGTCAGGAGTGATCTCTTGATAGATGCCACACATTGAACTGTAAAATCTTTATCTTGGTTTGCTTGAGTTTGAGTGTTCCTATGCCATGGTTCTTTGGGAATGAGAAGTATTTAACTGTTTTTCATTTTACAGATGCCCACAGTTAAGAAGATACTTCAGACATTTTAAGAAAACTCAGGTTTTTGTTTGTTTTTTGTTGTGGTTTTGGTTTTTTTGAAACAGTGTTTCTCTGTGGTTTTGGAGTCCTGGAACTCGTTCTGTAGACCAGGCTGGCTCCAACTCACAGAGACTGGCCTACTTCTGCCTCCCAAGTGCTGGGATTAAAGGCGTGTGCCACCAATGTCCCGCTAAACATCTGACTTTTTAAGATTTTTTTTATAAGTGCTTTGCCTACATGTATGTATATATACTAAGTGCATGCCTGGTGCCCACTAAGATCAGAAGAGGGTATTGGGTTCCCTAAAACTGGAGTTACAGATGGCCGTGAGTCACCTTGTGGATGCTGGGTACTGGTCCTGGTTGGTTCCTCTGCAAAAGTAACAATTGCCCTTAAAAAGTCCAGCCATCTCTCAGCCCCAAAGACAGTGAACTTTTCAAGCATTGAAATGTTTAAAGACAAATGTACTTTAAAGTTTGATTGTGTCTTTATATTATACTATGAACATAAGATCTTTGGGATGTAATAAAAGCTAGTGGCTTAAAGTGATGCATATGTGTGTTGCTTTGAGAAGAGAACTGTCCTAGTTAGTTGTCTACTTGACAAGACTAGAATCACCAAAAGAAGTCTCCATGGAGTCCTTGTCATTATCAAGTGGTCTATGAGGATGCCTGTGGAGGATTTCCTTGGTTGTTGATTGGTTTAGAGGGCTCAGCCCACTGTGGGTGGTACCATTCCTTGGGCAAGTAGTCCTGGGCTGTATAAAGAAGCTAGCTGAATAAGAACCTGAGAGAGCCAGCAAGCAATATTCCTCCATATTCCTGATTCTGGGTTCTTGTCTTGACTTCCCAGTGTGATGAATTGTGACCTGGAAGTATAAGCCAAATAAACACATTCCTCCTCCAAGTTGCTTTTGGTCAGTATGTTTTACCACAGCCAACAGAATGGGAACAAACTCTTGACAAAATAGACCATATTTACCAGCTCCAAAAACCGTATGTTTTGGGCAGACACATAGTTCAAATTGCAGCACAGCTAGAGAATAAGTTGTCCCCTAGGCAATGAGCAGGATTCCAACAGGATCCATGAGCAATAGACTTCTCTGAGGTTCTCTAGAAGTGGGAAGAACAGGGATCCCTTACATAAGAGCAGGGGTTGAAAGCTGAGAGTTGAACAGAGCAGTTATGGTGTCAGTGTAAGCCTTCTATTTTCATACTGATATGATCGCTGTAAGCAGTGGCTAATATTGGGGAGGGGGTGACTCCAAAACTAAAACTTCACCTGGAAGGAGCTGGAGGGAATGGGACCTGATATGGCTGTCAAATGATAGGTTGATGCCAACAGCAAAGTGCTTATTGGGTGTTCCTTTCCCTCCAAGATGGCTTGTTTCTCTAAAGCTTAAATTTGCCCAGAGAACTCAAAAACCAGGAGGGAAGAACAAGTGCCCTCCTCAGATCCTGGATTCGCACAGCAATTCTGGGATATTCCACGACGTCACTTCCTGATCTTTCTTTACAGCCTGGAGAAACGGTCCCACAGTGAGTATGGCTGCCCCGTGACTAAAGACAGTACAGCAGAATGGAACCCAGGGCTGGGCCAAAATGCCTCTATGGTGTCTACTCTGTTTTCTCAGTGCTTTTAGAGGATACTCAAGCAGCCCTTGTGACAGGGAGAAGTGGCTCCCATGGCAGACACCAAAAACTGGCTCTTCCAGTCTTACCAAAAGCAGAGACTTCAAACCAAGCAAGACTATGGTGACATAGTCATAGGCCCTATGGTCAGACAGTCATGGGTGCTATGGTGACATAGTCATGGGCACTATGATGACCTAGCCATGGGTGCTATGGTGATATAGTCATGGGTGCTATGGTAAGACAGTCATGGGTGCTTTGGTGGCTGTAGCACCCAATCCCAATCCTAGTGAAACCTGTAAGCTGCTGCTTTGAGCCACCATCTTTTGGGGATGACTTACTACAGCATAATAGAATCACAGCACAAAGAATACCGTGGGGCTTCACAGAGATCTGCCCTCTTCCTGATGTTGAGCACACAGAACCAAATGGAAGGGAAAGTGCTTATGAGTGAGTTAAGGACCTTAAGGTGGAACCCCACAAACCCTTGAATCCGGCATCTTCGGACATGATAAGTTCAGAACCATATGTGAGCAGAGCACACACATCATATTTCATGTTTTATTATCAGCACCACCCACATGCGGCAGCAGTCCCTTGTCCCTGCTTTCAAGCCAGCAAAAGCAAGAGAAGGGACCCTGTGAGTCCCTCTGCACAGCATCCGGCTGTGAGAAAACACATGTGTGGCTTGTTAGAAGCTATTTATTGTGAATGCTCTCCCCAGACAGCGAGAGCAGAAGAAAGGGTTATTTTCCTGAGGGAACAGCTTAGCAATGTCTCCCCAGCACAATTAACCAAAGTTTTGAAATCATTTCAGCTAGTCCCATGAAAAACCAAATCTTAGAAGAAATGACACATTAAATAATGCGTCCTAAATCAAGACTGGAGAATGAAGGCAAGGCTTCCTTTCCCATCCCCTCTTCTTTCTGAGAGACCTCATGCTAACTCCCCAAGTTCATATTCTTAATAATACAGATATGCTGTAACACAATGTGCACTTCAAACCAGCCTATTTAAGAAGTCGGTGAAAGGTTTTCATAACATGGAATTATATGCACAAAGAACTCATAATACCCTGTCACTGAATCCTACAACTTACACAGCACAAAGGTTCATTTGCTGCCGTAAATGAGAAAGATGTCAAAGAAACGAAAAATAATTTGAGGGCACAGTGAGAGCCCGAACACAGGGCTCGCCGCCCAGAATCTTCCTACATATGGCCCCACCTCGCAACCTGGAAGATGTCAGAAGTGGAGAAAGAGCAGAGCCCACACACTCATTTACTAAGAAGAAAGATGGGCAGAAGGTCTGTATCTGTTGCCACAGGATAATGGTGTGGCCCCTTGCCAAACAGAAGCTCCTGAGAGCCTGTGCTGCTTCCTGGGTTCCTGAAGGTGTGGTACAGCTAAGACTCTACAGGGACCAGGGCTTGTTTTCATGTGAATGACTAGTGATAGCACACACAACATTCACAAAACCGCCAGTATCTTGCAGAATCTGCCAGAAAAATGTCCAGAGGATATGGCAGATGAAAAGCAGTGACAGCGTGGGTACACTTCTACAGAGGACCTAGGCCCCACCGTGGGTTCCCATTCACTGGGGCAACCGAGATCATTACTCCAGCTCTTGGCTTGAACTAGAAATCAAGTATGCCCCACATGGTCCTATGGAAACACATGAAATCACTTATTAAATTGGATGCTGGTCTCTCTGACCTTTGAGGGGCTCTGAATGTAGAATTTTCCAGACAGGCTCATTTGCAGAAGCGTTCTTAGTCACTTTCCTGTTGAGTGATAAAAACCCTGACAAAAAGCAACTTAAGGAAGGGATGATCTATTTCAACTCACAGCTCAAAAGGTACAGTACGTCGTGGTAGGGAGTCAAGAAGCCAGGGGCTGGCCATGCTTCATCCACATCCACCTTTGCCTCTTTACACAGTCCAGGATCCCACCATAGGGAACAGTGCCGCCCACGGTGGACAAGTCTTCCTGTCATAACTAATGTAACCAAGATGATCCCTATAGGCATACTCAAACACCATCTTCCAGATGACTCCAGAGCTCATTGAGTTGACAGTTGAGACTTGTTAACTTGATGTCCAAACACACCACTTAAATCATAACCTTCCACTTGTTATCCCCAAAGTCTCAGGTTCATCTCAGAGTGCAAGATACAACCCAACTTCAAAAGGCCCCACAGCCTAACAGTTATAACAGTTTAAAGTCCACATTTCATTTGAGACTAGAGGCAAGCTCTTAACTGTGAGCTCCTATAAAATAAAAAAACAAGTTACACACTTCCAACATACAACAGCATAGAATAAATATGTCCATTCAAAAATGGAAGAATCTGGATATCGGGAAATGAATAGGCCCAAACAAGATGAGATTCCAGCAGGATAAACACCAAATCCTGCAACTCCATGTGCAGCATCCGGGACTCACAAAGAAACTGTCTGGTTCTAGGGAACTTAGATAGCCTTACCCTCCAGCCATGCTACTCAAAACACACACAGCCTCTCTCTTAGGCTGGTTCTACTCCATGTTTGCAGCTTTCCTTGGCCAAAGTCCCACAATCCTGATATCTCCAATATCCTAGTGTATCCACTATAAAACAGGGTTCATTTTATGGTCTCACACCATGGCCTCTCAGGAACTCCTTGCATGGATTCCAACTCTGCCACACACTGCTTGGCCTCATCTGCTCTCTGAAACCACAGAGGAAGATTCCATGACCTCCTCAGTCTTTTACTTTCTATGTCTGCAAAACCAATACCAAAACTGTGTTAGGGTTGCAATTACTGTGATGAAACACTGTGACCAAAAGCAACTTGGGGAGGGGAGAGGATTTTTTTCACCCACACTTTCATATGGCAATTCATTTTTGAAAGCACTAAGGACAGGAACCTGGAGGCAGGAGCTGATGCAGAAGCCATGGAGGGTGCTGCTTACTGGCTTGCTCCTCATGGCTTGCTCAGCCTGCTTTCTTGTAGAACCCAGGACCAACTGTCTAGGGATGACACTGCCTACCATGGGCTGGACCCTCTCACATCAATCACTAAATTAGAAAATACCCTACAGGCTTGCCTACAGCCCAACCTTAGGCAGGCAACTTCCCAGTTCCCCTCCTCTGAAATGACTCTAGCTGGTGTCAAGCTGATACAGAATTAGACAGACTGCTATAAAGTTTGAAGTGGGGGTAGGAAAAATGCTGCAGCTTCACTGGCCACCCAATCTAGCCAATCAGCGAACTCCAGGTTCACTGAGAAAAGACTATCTCAGATCACATGGTGGCAGGATGGAGAGATGGCTCAACCGTTCAGAGTGCTTGCTGGCAGAAACCCACAGCCAATCAAAGAGCAGGAACAAGTGACCACGTGAGGCACCTACACCACAACTCCTCCCCCCAAGGCTTAAAGATCCCAGCAGGAAGGGGGATGGCCGGAAGAACAGGAATGTTGCTGTGACACCGTGCCAAAGCTACATGGATGAAATCTCACCAACATGACTGCCTAAACATGATCTGAGTGAAGACATTAGCAACAGACATGCTGGAGTGAAAGAACAAAAATAAAGAACTACAGTGGAAGGAATGGGAATGCTGACAGGCAGACAGAGTCTTTCCCAGGGGAGAACCCCCAAACTGACTAATACAAAAAGTCATCCCTGAAATTATGTTCATGTAAGTGTCTCTGTATGAACTGAGCAGTTATATTTATATATTTAGGAAGGTGTGTGATGTGTGTTGGGTGTGTGTAATAATAAAGAAAAAGAGGTCATGAATTTGAGAAAGAGCAAGGCAGTACAGGAGCAAGGGGTTGAAAGGAGGAAAGGGAAGGGAGAAATGTTATGATTATATTTTAATCTCAAAAAATTAAAAGATTCTTTTTAAAGTGAATGCAAAGTACTCTTGTAGAAAACCTGCTGGTTCCTAGCACCCAGATCCTAGCCACCTGTTAACACCAGTTCAGGGAACCAACACCCTCTTCTGACTTCCATGGCCACCCACATGTATGCATGTATGTACACACACACACACACTCCACACACCACAGAGAAAGGCTGTCACACCAGTAAAGAACCACACAAGGTGTGACTCCTCTTGTATGAAGTATCTGGAACAGGTTAATCCACAGACATATTAGGAAATGGATGTTAACAGGTGTGATGAGATGGTCTCAGATTAGAAAGTGTAGGAAGCTGTATAAGTTTGTGGATGTGCTAAAACCCACTGAATTGCATTTTTTTTTAAATGGTGAATTTTAGGCAGGTCATTAGCCTAGCATACATGAAGATCCATTGCCAACACTGAAAAAAAAAACTTTATATAATGACCATTTTGTCTCTGATAAGAAGACAATAGCTCTGGTTGCTTCTGCTAGATGACAGAAAAAGGGTCCTAGTGTGCTAGGGTCAGTCCTCCCCTGATTGAGGAGGGTCCTCCTGAGCCTTCCCAAGTCATAACAAAGGTGCTGTCAGCAGGAAGTCCTTGCTGCTTAATGGTGGTGCTCTTTGTGGCCTCTTTGGGAGAAGTTGGGTTTCATTGTCATCTGCCTAAATACTCAGTCTCCATGACATGGATGTAAGTGGGTGTGGCCCTGCCTGCCTTTCTCCAGCTCTTTCTGTGAGGACCTGGTATGGGGTAGCATATCTGGCAGGTCCCTGACTTCCCAAGTCTTGTACCCAGGGGACACAGCCCTGTCTAAGGGACTCGGTCTACCAGTAGGAGGAGCATGGAGCTCTGTTCATAAGGAAAGGACAGGCTGGCAGCACACCAAGGTTCCTGGCTGTTCCTGCTGCACAGCCAGTGTGGTCTTCAGGCCTCAGAGTGTCCACCTCTCTTATCTGATGGAAGTTAAGAATGGGTGTATCCATGGCTACCTTTCTAGAACAGAGTAAGGAAACACACGAGCCTCCAAGAGGAATTAATGAAGTTTGGAGACATTACTTTAGAAAATTCTCAAAGTCCTGACATGTGAGCATATATCCAAGAGGTAGGATGTACACAGATTTTCACAATGGCAACCTGGTTCTCTAGGATTCCAGTTCCTGTTCTCCACAGACACCTGCTATGTCTAGAAATGGCTCTTCAGGAGAGACACAGTGAGAAACCAGCCCTACGGCTCCCTGGACATCCCAAGCCTGATCTCAGGACTGTGTTGTGTTTCCGTGTGGTGCTAAAATGATCTGGAGAAGTCCAGTCACATAGTGACTCTCAGCTGTCCCCGCAGTCCTTGGCTGGACACCACAGCCTTGCCCAATCAGACTCTGAGCTGGCTGCGGCCAGCATCACCCTTTGTCCCACCAGCTGCCTTGGTAGGGACAGTCTCACACCCACGGGGGCAGGTGTGTGGTTTCCCCTGTACTCACTGGGAACAGCTTTCTCGTAGCAGACACCCTTGTAGAAACAGCACCCGAGGTCTTTGCACCGGTCCCTGCTGATGTTGTAGTCACAGATTTCATAGAGAGGGATGTCACACACTGCAAGGCACAGACACAGGCAGAAAACATGGTGGGGGCGGAGAAGGTAGGGTGAGTGGGGTGTGGTGGGTGAGGTGGAGGGGTGGGGTGGGGGGTGGGTGAGGTGGAGGAGTGTGGGGGGGTGGGGAGTGGGGGGTAGGGGTGGGGGTGGCGGTGGGTCAGAGTGGGAATCTGCCGGATTGAATTGAGGTGTCGTTAGTCCCATTGTTCCTCATTCGAATCTGGCTTTGAAACTAGGATATGAATTAAATTCCTGAACAAAATAATATAAAGTTAATTACAGAGCACAATGCAGGGCCTCTGAACATCAGGATGATAAGACACCCCAGGCAGGGGCTAACATAAGACCACCGGTGTGGCCAGGCTACCATGTGCCATATGCACACTGAGTCACGGCACCAGCTTAACCAGCAGTGTGGGCTAAGGATTGCTCCTGGATTTAGAAGCTGAATCTAAAGGAACACACACTGGGGGTTGGATGCATCCCTCAGGGGCTAAAGGTGTAGACCACTCTAGTTGGGGACCCAAGTTAGGTTCCCAGCACTCGGTGGGACAAATCACAACTGCCTCTAAGTCCAGCTGCAGAGGATCTCACACAGACACCTAATTAAAACTAAAATTAAACCTTAAAGACAATTACAAAAGATGGAGAGTTGAGTGTGACTTCTGCCCCCCCCTCTGTCCCCCTGAACTTGACAGCAGTGGCCATGTACTGTAACGTAGACTGAAGACAGGCAAGTGGAGGGACTTCCATCACAAACTGATTTGACTTGGGAAACATGGTCCTTCAGTGGCAGAGGCAGCTACCTGGACCAAATGGTGAACAAGCCACACAGAGGACTGTACGGACCAGGCAGCAGTGCATCATCATCCCAGGGCCAGAGGGGCTAGCCTGCACTGGGGAAGACAGACAGGAGGATCCTGGGATAACTAGTCAGCTAGTCCAGATGAGGCCCAGGCACAGGCGGTCTCACAGCATCTGTGCACACAGGTGCTCACATGTGCATACATGAACACACACAAAATGCTATCACCATGGTGTCTCCTTGGTTAGGAGTTAGACACAGGTGCCAGAGTCCACTTCCCTAGAGATGCCTTCTTCGTGGACTGCCTTCCTGAACTGCCTTCCTATACGGGACTCAGAGGAATTGTCAGGAAGGTCATCATGCCCTGTGTGTGGACACTGTGTCCCTGGGTCCATTCACTCTGGAAGTGACAGCCCAAGTCATTTGGGCCTACTACACTTGCTACAGGCTTCTACGAAGGAGCATAGATGGTATCCGTTGGCATAGTGCTTTGCCATTTACAGAAACAATTCCATCGTCATGGCAACATTGAATGAAGCAACATTAATTGAATATGCAGATCAACTCCCAGGCAATAAGAGGTTAGACTTAACAGGCAGACAAAGGCTAAGCCTGAGAGGATGTACACCAGGACTCAATGCCCCCTCCCTTTCCCACATGAACAAGAGCTCTGGAGGATGCCTCTGCCTAGCCTGTCTCAGGGAAGCTGATCAGCAGTCTCCCTATTTTGGACAACCATACACAAAGCCTATCAAATCTTGTTGGACAATAAAGGCCCTGCCATCAAGCATGCAGAGAGCCTGGGGGACAGTGGGCAATCACAAAGTTCACAAAGTCATGGAATGGCTGGGAAGATGGCTGTGGGTTACCTGCCACCCGAGGATAGAAAATGTGTGCCTGGGGGAGGGTAGGACTCACACCCAGCGGGTCAGCGGGTCAGCAGGTCAGCGGGAAGGCACACAGAGCCCTCAGAGATGAGGGTGTTGATCAATTTGTGGTCTGCTCCAAGTTACTCCATAAACCGTATAGAACTGTTTTCTCAGACCCCCTTGCCACTCCAAAAATTCACTGGGGGTATATTTGAGACATATTAAAATCTTATCACAGAAACTAGGCCCAAGAACTTATGTGACACACCAGACCCAGGAGTCCACTTCCTCCCCTGAGCCCCACACTACAGTGACAGTGGCCCCACTGCCCTGTGGGCTGATGTCTGTGTGAGTCAGGGACTGACAGGCAGAAAACCCCCCAGCTGCCAGGTTCTGTCCCCACTGCTGGTGTGACCTACTCAATGGGTGTCCCATGCATGGACTCGCTGTCTACTCTGTGCTGTCTCTCAACTGAACCTGGTCCTCCCCTTTTGCCTCTGCAGCCAGACAACTCCACAGCTCAACTCTCAAGCTTGTGACCCATGGGTTCCAGTTCTCCTGGATTTGTTTTCAACATAGACTCTATTCATACCTCTATCTGTCACTCCAGAAACTTCTGGCAAGTCTGCCACAGCCTCCTTAACCCTTAGTATCCATCAGGTAACCCACGTGCATACCATACGTAGAGAGAGCCAATGATATATTTACTGAGAGATGTGTGGTATGAGGAGTATAAGAAACCTGTGTTCTCCTTAGCTGGGTGGCTCAGGAAAGCCAATATCTGGTAAATGGCTGCCACTGCAGCTACCACATACCTTGTACATGTACTGTAATCAATGACTCTGACAATGTGGAAAGACACCAAGGTGTTTGTCTGTTTCAGACATGGCACATCCTACTCATGCATGTGGGGGAGAGCCGGGTAAACTATGTGAGCTTGGCCTAGGAGCCATTTTGGCATCCACGGGTTCCCCTGGGAGACCAGCCAGAAAACCAGGCAGTGCTGAGGATAGGCTGGCTGGATCAGCTGGGGCTCAGCACTGCCAGGTGCCCTACCACAGCCTCTCTGCCTCCCCTGTGAGGAGATCAGGCTCTGCTCTGAGGGACCCCACTATGTAAAGCAGTGGTTCTTTAGGGGTAATTCTGAACCTGGGTGGACAGATGGCCAGCCCCATTTGTGGCACAGACTGACTCATCTCTAAGAATAGGAAGGACATCATCCTTATACATTTTTCAAAATAAACAAGATGGGACCAGGTGTGACAGGGGCGGTATGTCCACAGACTATGGAAAGAAATTCAGGTGAAAAGGGCACACGGGGGCATTAAAATCATACCAGGAAATCCATGACCAAGAACTTAGTGGACACAGCAGAGGAAAGGGTGTAACTCCCTCACCTGGACCACTGAAGGGTAAGACTCACTGTGGCAGCAACAGAACCACTGGCCCGTTGTCCCAACTGTCCCAGGGGCTTCAGCTCAGCAGGACCCCGCTGGCTGATACAGCCACCTATCGAATATCAGCTCACTGTTGGGTCTGACCTTTCACTGCTCCAGCGGCCACCATACCTGACCCTGCAGCTCAACTCTGGTTCTGAAGCTTGACTATTACAGCAGACACATTCCAATCACACTGTTCACCATCTTAGCCTCCCCTCCCCCAGCCGCCCCTCCCCAGCCTCCCCCTCTCAAGGCTGCATCTCTGTCAGCATGCTCGATTAGGTACTCATCCCTCTTTGGACTCCTTCAACTCTCCGGCGCCCATTATAGCCATTCTGTAATATACATATGAAGAGATGCATTTACTGTGTTATGTGTGATCTGAAAACCGACACTAGTGATCATGACAATAAGAAATATAAGAACCTGTGTTCAGTTGGCCAGGAAAATAAGAGTACCAGACAAGGTCTGCCAATGAAGCTATTGAAATTTGTGAATTTATTATTATTTCTGAACTTCTGACATTGTAGGAACACAATCTAACTTCGTCACTGTACAGTTTCTCAACGAGCCTTTGAGGCAGCCCCCTTCACCTAGGAATCAACATTGTCCTATTCATTTATCATGGCGCAAGCTTGAATGCCAGCACACAGGTCCACAGCTAGGAAATACCAGGAAAGCAAGGCAGCAAGTTGAGATCTTCTCCTGACCCTGGGATTCAGCTCAACAGTTCATAGATAAACCTGCATGCACCCCTAAGACAGCCTCCTCACCCATAACACAGCTTCCCCATATCCTGAGGTCACCTCTCACCCGATCCCATACACCTGGAGTGGGGTATGCCAGCCCTAAGCTTATGTATTCAGGGCCAAGGTCCAATGGCTCCCAGGAACCCTTTGCAGAAGTGGGTGGGCACTGATTCCTACCCCATCCAGACAGCTCCCCCAGGCTCTAGGCTCATGGCCATAAACAGACACCAAAGGGGGCTGCTCATGAGAGCCTTAAGGACTGTGTTCTCTCACCCTTTGTTCTAGCCATGGCTTTCCCACTGGGAGATTGGGGCGGGGCACTCAATCCTAGCCAAGTACAGTGTTGGCCCAGCTGCTCTCAGTGGCCCCAGTCTGCCTGTATCAGCTTATCTTGCTTGTTCTGAATCAGAAATCACAAACAATCCTCTTAGGAGTCTTCTACCTGCAGAGGTGCCCAGCCCCAGGGTGACTGACAGAGTTTCTCCCCAACCCCACTGTAACTGAGCCTCCCCTCACACTCTAGACCTATGGCGCAAGCTCAGTCCCAGGAAGGAGTTGGCTCCCCTTCAGGGAATCTGGCCTGCCTTCCAAGGGAGACAAACAAAAGATGGACATATTTTTTTAAATTTGTTCCCTCCATGTCGGTGATTTAGCATACTGGCAATACACGAATGCATGTTCAGTTGGGGAAAAAAAAAAAAAAAAAAAAAAATTCCATCACTTCTACCTGGGCAAGGAAGGTAAGAGTTCCTTCTCACCAGTCCCGAGTGGTCTGATCTGATGTTCCTCCCAGGAAGCATCCAATTCTAGAAGCTTCTCCTCCTAATTTAAAGTAACTGCAATTATACCAAGTACCCTCAGCCTGCCTTCAAGAAAACCACATTTTTGCATGGCTTCCCACCCAAGGGTCAAGCGTCTAACGCCGGCTTACAAACCAAGCAGCAAGGCCATGTGTGATTCCTTGTTGAAAAATGTTTTTGATCAAATAAAAAGCCACTCTGAGATAAGAATTTTCAAGTAACCGAAGAGTATAAAGGACAGACAGAAAGCTCCGTAATTCCCTGTTGTTCCTTAAACTGACACGAGAGGTCCCTTTGTAATGGAACTGAAGACCTAGAGATTTTGACATGGCTCCTTAGGTCATTTAGAAACATGCTTCCCTGCCTCCCTTGACCAGACTAGCTAGGTCAAATCCTCCATAAAAACAGCCCCAACAGACAGCCTCTTCCATGTTACCTGCAAACTTCTTCAGCAGATGCGGTGGGGACTTCTTGAGTTCTGGGGCATATCTCATGGTAGCAGCTGACAGGGATGCAGGGATCAAATATGCCTGGAAGACAGGACACCTCAGTACAGGGATCCCCAAAGCATCCACACCTGTAAGATGGGAAACCCCAGAACAGAGGGCCCCAGAGCATCCACACCTGAAAGACAGAACACCTCAGCACAGGAATCCCCAAAGCGTCCACACCTGGAAGATGGGATACCACAGAACGGAGGGCCCCAGAGCGTCCACACCTGAAAGATAGGACACCTCAGCACAGGAAGCCCCAAAGGGTCCACACCTGGAAGATGGGATACCCCAGAACGGAGGGCCCCAGAGCATTCACACCTGACGGGATACCTCAGCACAAGGGGTACAGGACATGTACATCTAGAAGACAGGACAGGACACCTCAGCACACAGGGGCCTCAGCGTGTTCACACCTAAAGACAGGATACCTCTACACAGGGTGGCTTTGTAGCCATCTGCTGGGAGTGTTGTGTGGCACCAGAGATTGAACAGAGAATGAACAGGTCAAGCTTTAAGGGCTCTTCCTGGCCCCAAGGAAGCAGATGTGGCCACCAACCTGTCCATCATTTCCAGAGCTGAGTCCTTTGCACTGCCCCTCTGGTACCCTCTAAGTAGGAACGTTTTGGTTGAACCAGAAACTGGCTGCCTCTTCCTCTCTGTTTACTGCTCACAGCCAGCTGGGGTGGGGGAGGGGTGGACAGAAGAAAACCAGTCCCGGCCTGTTGTGACATCATTTGGAAGCTCGAGGTCATGAATGTGTCACAGGACTTCATTCTATAGAATGGATGTGTAGCAAGAGGGCCATGCACACTAACAGGCTGGGGAAGGGTACTAGGTGCAAGGTCCTGCTCTGAAGCCTACAGTCAGAGTCCAAGTTCTCCCTTCCTGCAGGTTCCCCATGCAGTTTACTGACCTTGGCTGCAGGATCAGACTTCTAAATCTTGACATGTGATTCTTCTCTCTGGGAGCATCTGATTTTACAGACACTATGAGGGTACAACTGTGAACAAAACCAAGACCCCGTCTATCTGAAATGAGAGGGAACAAGACACTGTGAATCTATGCCTGCACTCCAGAGTGGGTTCCTTCTGCTGGCCACTAGCCAAATGTGTCTTGGAAGGAGGTGCAACAGTGGACAGCCTTCCTTTTGCCTCCCTGCTGGAAAGTGCATATGTTTCAGTATTGTCCAGGTGTTATGTGAATTCCAACAGTGTGTCAGAGCTGGGGAGTAAGCTGCTGGACATGGTCCCCCCCTCCAGCTGCAATGTTCTGAAAGGCCCTTCTCCAGCACACAACTGGAGGTTAACTCAGGGCTCTGCCTGCAGAGACCATGCTGCTCTTATCACTTGCTAATGTAGACACTATTTAATTAACTTGGTTTTATTTGTAAACAAATGTGGTTGGCATTTAATAACCGAGAGGATGTGTAGCTCCTGCAAAAAAAAAAAAAAAAAAAAAAAAAAAACTTTACAAAATTAAAAGCCGGTGAATGGCTGCATAATATGAGGGGAATTAATTATCCTGGGAGCTCCTGCTCCTTGGGGTGAAGTTGGTGATCAGTTGGTCACGGAAGCAAGTGTGAAGTGTGGAGGGCGGGGAAGCAGGGCTTGCCTGTTTCTCAAATTCACAAGAGAAGAGCCCTGGCACAGGCAAAGCTAGAGCTACAAGACAGCCTAGAGCTCATGCCCCTGGCCTGGTGTGTTCAGAGGAAGGTTTGGGCACACTCCCTGCCCACAGTGCCACTGGCAGAGCTAAGAAACTGGGCCCACAGGGCACCTGTGAGTCATTCCACAAACCAGGTTTGTGTGGCTCCCCAGTGTCTGTTCCTTTGTTGGGTAACTTCTGAATCATTGTGAACCAGGCTTCCTGGGGTGCTCATCTTCACAAGGCTCTAACCCATTCTTGTTCATTCCCATTCCCTCAAAATTTGCAGAACTTTTCCCTTGAGGTGTAGAACAGAAACAACAACAAACAAAAATAGAGGGGTTTCGAGGCATGGCAAGTAGAGTTGCCACACTTACAGTTTCAGGTCTCCAACATTACTACAGGCATTTCCTTCCATAGCCTTTGGTTTCCACCTTTCACTTTATTTCTATTTAATGTTTTTGTTATTAATAAAAATTGAATATTTTGTTCCTGACCTATGGGAAACTGATTTCTAAATAAAAGTTGCAGCTTGCAATGTGAGTTCTTTTTACACCATCAGTACCATCGACAGCAGTGGGTGTTTTCATGAGTTTTCTATGACCTGTGGATCCCCTATGCCAAGCAGGTACTGGGACAGCAGATGAATGTGGCTCTATTTCTCATCAGAGCAGCTCACCTTTCCATTGTCACTAATGTGGTATGTGTTGTCAGTTAAGTCCAAATCCCCAGAATACACACACACACACACACACACACACACACACACACACACACACACACACCAGAGTCTGCAAAACTGCATGTCTGATTAGAGCTGTGACAAGTTAGAATGTTGCAGATCTACATCCAGACAATCCAGTCCTGTAACAGCCACTCATTGCCCCATTTCTAGGTTAAACCTAACATCCCTGTGGCCATCAGATAAAACATTTTAGCAAAGTATCAATATACCACTAGCATCCACACATCCAAGAGCTAAGGATGTCACCTGACAGCTTCTCAGACTCCTCATAAAGACCTCCACTTCACTATTGCCATCTTCATCATGTTTCCATCCTGTGTCATTAAGGGCATTGAACTGTGACTGTATCTTGATTTGTGTGACTGTGGATGTTTGCATAACTGTTCCCGACCACTGTTTCTTGAGGCAGGGGCTGCGCTTTGCATCACCAAGTTTCGTTAAAGTTCTCATTTGCTCCTTCTCTGCCACACCAGCGTAGTGATTTCCACCAGTGGCGTTCGCAAAAGCCAACCCAACAAGGGAGGCTTTGCCTTCTGGAAATGTCAAGCCTGCTTTACTTTGAAGCCAGAGTTGGATCCTGAAGTGAATTCAGCTGAATTTGCACATACCGACTCAACTCTTCCTGTAGCATTTCCTGGATCTTCCATTGTTCATGCCTTTATTGTCAAGCTCAGGCTGGTATGGTACCACAGATATGCCAAATGCTGGCTCCTTTCTGTCCTCTGGATTTGTCTTGATCATCACACTTGTCCTCGCTCATACCCAGGAAGGGCACGTATGTGTGTGTGTGTGGGGGGGCATCTTCAGACAGCATAATCAATCCCTCTCTCATAGCTGGAAAGGGCATGTGTGTGTGTGTGTGTGTGTGTGTGAGAGAGAGAGAGAGAGAGAGAGAGAGAGAGAGAGAGAGAGAGAGAGAGAGAGAGAGAGAGAGAGAGAGGGAGGGAAGAAAGGAGGGGGGGGAGGGAGGGAAGTGTGCATCTTCAGAGGACAGGATTTACATCTTTAATTAGTGCTCTGTCCATTTTCAGACTTTCTTTTAAAAACACATCATTTCACCTTCATGTACAAGTTTACTGCTACAAAGAAAGTCAGGGTGCCCTGAGGCCATGCCTGCTACCTTGAGCATGAGCATGCTCTCCCTTTTCATCTGACAGGTCCATGTGCTTTGTCCTCCCGACTTGATCTGCACTTTATCAAGTCTTCTGAAAGAACAGATTGCCCTCAGCCTGTGCATTCCCTCTTCACATCCCCACCCTCAGCCATAGTCATCACTTCACTCTGGGGACAGAGGCGGAGGCCCTGTGACCCAATAGTTACCAGACGATCGGGAGCGTCCAGAACAAAAGACAGTGAGTTAAGCAGCACTGGCTCACTTGGCCATCATAGGGCCTCCATTCCAGACTCCTGCCCCCAGGATTTGGTTAACAGCAGTGAAATGGAGACAAGTGCCTTCATCAGCTTTATTGAAAAGTGCCTTACAGAACTGTGTGCTAATTAAGAAGTATGTTAATAGGGTGAGCTCTGGCAAGGGTACCTTGAGGCCTGGCCTATGGTTGACAAGCTAGACAGAACAGGAAGCAGCCCAATGCAAACCTTCCCCCAACAGCACCCTGTGAGCGAGGCTGGTAATGCAAATGCTCTCAGAAGGGAATGATACACCAGCTGACCTGCATGTGCCTCACACACCATTCCCTCCCCAGGAGGTGGCAGAATCAGGCTCCACTTACACTTAGGGAGCTCTGCAGGCTCCAGAAAAACCATTGTGACTAAGAGGGGTGGAGAGGTGGACAGCAGTGAGGAAGGGAAGGAAATGAGGACTGGTGGGGCAGAGTTGAGGACAGACATCCCAGGAACAGAGATGCGCCTGCACTGCTGTGGGGGCAGGTGCTGGGTGCAAGATCCAGACTGGTCCCGAGATGAGAAACTGCAGGCAGCTCCTTGGAGTACTGCCAGTGTGGGGAAAAGACAGGTTGGGGGTCGAGGAGTGAGGAAGTCAGACACTGTACGAAGTGCTTAGCCCTGGGGCGGCCATGCTGAAGCCGCTGTTTAAATGCTGTGCCGGTCCACTCTAGGGATTCCACAGCTGTCCAAGTCCTGTTCAGAAGACTCCACTTACATCTCCTCCACAAGCAGGGATTTCCAGAATTTAACACAAAACAAACAAAAAACAAACCCACAAAGGTTTTATCTGCCTCAAGCCAGGCCAGTCCAAACTCCCAAGTATCCAGAGCGCTCAACCAATTACAACACAAATCATTTTGCCTGAATTAACTGAAACCCTGGAGATTTCAGATTCTGACTTCCTCTGGGTTCTCATCTGAATGGTGGCTGGCCAGGCATTCTACAGAGCTACCTTAGTACCTGACACTACTGTCCATCTGGGTCCTGTGCTGACACAGCACCTTTCTAGACAGGTCATCACATCATATCCAGGAACCCTCATTTGAGTTGCATTTCCCCAGCTCAACTCACGCTGCTCACTAATTGGACTAGGACTGAGGTTGTGTGCATGCTTGGAGTTGTTTTTTTGAAGCAAGGTCTTAACTGAGTCACCGCAGCTGGCCTTGGACATGCAAGAGCCCCACGTGAGGGGTGTGTGTCCTGGCCTATGTCTGTACCCGCTGCTTGCAGGCTTGCTTTCTGGATGACCAATGAGCCGTTTGATACAGGATTCTGACACACAGCACTGAGGAACAAGACAGTAAAGTCACCCAGGATGACCAGCCACTGCATCTCTTTGTAATCTGATACAAAATTCCTAATAGTTAGGTCTCCTGAGCAAATGGTTCAGTCTGAGTTCCAGGGATGAACAAGTGTGGTAGTGTGAGTGAGGATGGTTTTGGTTATGTGGTCTCCAGTTGGTGTAACTGTTGTGGAAGGATTAGGTGATAGGTAGCTGGAGGAGGTGCCACTGGGGGCATGCTTTGGAAGTTTCCAAAAAGGGGCAGTCTCTAGTGTTCTCCGGCACTTAAGACACAAGCGCTCAGCTGTTGCTGTGGGGCGGCCTGTGCTCCACCATCACAGACTCAAACCCTGTGACACCGTAAGCTCAGTTAAATTCTTTTTTCCCTGTAAGCTGGTGTTTCACTAGCAATGGAAAAGTACCTAACACACTGGGTTAGCTCAGCTCCCGTGGGCAAGAATAAGGTTTTTGAAAGGTGATCCTTCGCTACAGCTTGGATCCTGAGTGCCATCAAAGATCCGGGTGCTGAAGGCTTGGTCCCAGA